AGGAGGGTGGTGTAGCACTGGGACAGGCTCCCCAGAGAGGTGGTGGACTCTCCATCCTTGGAGGTTTCAAAAACCTGGCTTGACAAAGCCTTGTCTGGGATGATGTAGTTGGGGCTGGTCCTGCTTGGAGCAGGGGGTTGAACTGGATGTGACCTCCTGAGCTCCCTTCAACCCTCATTTTCTGTGATTATATGACCTGTGCCCTCCGGAGAGGCATGGGCACAGGCAGCTGCAGCCCATGTTCAAGAGCAGCAGCGATAGCTCGTATCCTCTGTGGATGGGGCCTGACGGGAGGTGCAACGGGCACTGACAGCAGGTTCCCATGTCTCTCCTCCAGGTGCTTAGCTGGACTCAGGCTCACCTGGGTTATTAACTCCTAGTAGGAGCTCGACTTTGGGTCCCTGGTTCTGAATTTGTCACTGTGCTCAATGCTGGGCTGTGGGTCTGGACGGGCTTTGTGCCCCTCCCTAGAGGACTAAAGTTTGGCAGCCAGCGTGCTTGGTTTCTGGAGCAGGCAGGGCGTTGAATCACATGGTCATGTTTTCCTTTCCTTAAAGCCAGTATTTAAGATGCAGCTGGGAACTCAGTTTCCAAAGCCAGGTTCTTGAAAAGGAGGACACCCGCCCTGGAAATGTTGTCCTCGTTATCAATAGTATTGCTGAGCAGCATAATGAAGGTAATGCTGTGCAACTAGCAGCCCCAGTGGCAGGTTGATTGCATGTGAAGCCAAGCAATGTCTGCTCATAGCCAAGGAGATGGTCTTTGCCCCAAAAAACCTCACCATCTATTGGGATCGTGATGTCTCTAAGCACGGAGCCAGAAGTGGCCTGGCGGGGAGGCCCTGTGCTTTTGACAGTGCTGTTTATATATTTGGAGCAATGCTTTTTTCCCCAGATTGTTGATATTATTGATGCTTTTCTCTGCCATTCAGAATAAGTGGAGCTAGGGCAACACCCTCCTTCCTCCTCCTCCTCTTCAGTGTTCAACCAGGCAGCATTTCACAGGTGGGAAATGGGCATGGTCACTGCAAAGGATGCAAGGGACCTAGTGGCTGTATGAAGAGTGTTAGTGGCAGTGAAGCTGTATTGTTGTTTCACATAAGGTAATGCTCTGATGGAGAAAGCATGGTTGTTTTAAACCCATCCCTGCAGTTCTCATGCTACCTTCAGCAAAGCAGCAGGCATGACTTTTGCAAATCAAATGCATTTCTCTTGATGTCACATTACCTCTTATAATGGGATCAGGTCTGAAAGGGAAGTGGGGGGAAAAGAAGGGGGGCAACCAGCCTCAGCACTTTGTTTTTAGTTCACTTCACTTTCCAGCTGCTATCCAGCAGTCTGGCACTGTGCTTGTTGGGTCCATGGACCCACAGAGCATTGGTTAAAACTAATCAAGGAAATGGGTGGCTCTTGCTGGTGTGGTGGTGTTGTTCATTCACAACAGCCACTGCAACAACATTTCTATTTGCAATAGTCTTTTGCTTATTTTTCCAAGTCTACCTTTCATCTGATCGGCTCCCTTGAACAAAACCTCCAGGGGCTTTGTGGGAGGCTTTTTCACGTGAGCAAGGTGCTACTGTAAAAATTGCACAGGTGTCTTTAAAAAAGCAAAGGGAGGGGAGAGGAGGCAGGTAGCTAACAGAAAGCTTCCATGTAGGTGCTGGCATTTGTTAGAGGCTTAGCAAGCGCGTTGTCTCCCTGGCCCCTGAGTGCTGCCTTCGCTGACATGCTGTCTCCTTTCCCTTCCAGGGTCGGTGTACTCGAGAGAACTGCAAATATCTCCACCCTCCCCCACACTTAAAAACACAGCTCGAAATCAATGGACGCAACAACCTGATCCAGCAGAAGACTGCGGCAGCCATGTTTGCACAGCAAATGCAGTTCATGCTCCCGGGCGCCCAGCTACAGCCAATTGTAAGTCACATGATGGCCGGGTCCTCTCTCTGCTGGTTCCCTCCCCGTTTCTCCTGTGCTCAGGCTCGGGCAAGAGAGCCCCTGTGGCTGCACGATGCCTCGTTGGCATCCCTGCGGGCATAAGGCACCAGCTGCATGGCTCCTGCTGTAGGCTGGAAGCTTTGAGAAAAGACTGTTACCAGCCCCAAGTCCCCTGGGAGACCTTGCAGAGTCCACAGTATACATGAATGTCCTTAAACCATCTTGGTTGACATGGTGCCCCTTGGGTGTAGCATGGAGAAAGGTCTGGCCTGGTTGTGTGAAAACTGAGTCGGATATTGGGCTCTCCCAACATCCCCGTGCAGCTTTCTGAAGCTGTTTAGTCTCCATCCTGCCATCCCTTGGCTTGTGAACCCCTTGCTTCCCAAGGTGAGGGCTGACACTGGACAAGATAAATGCAATGCAGACCCCACCTGCAGCAGTCTGCGAGCTCGCATGTTCCTCGTGGCTGACACTCCCCTGCTCCTGCTGTTGGAGCGGCTGATGTTATTTAGGAGCGTGCGGTCCAGCAAGTTAAGAGAAGAAAGAAGGTCCTGGTCCCTGATGGATGCAGGCAGTGGCTATCTTTGGTCATTGCAAATACGGTATCTAAAAAGATCTCCTTGGCTGCAACAGCGTGCACTCAAAAGCCATGACTTCCCAAGTCTCTGACCCACGCACATGCGTCTGGGGTCTGTACATGTCTCTGTGCTGGCTTCTGCTATGACTGTTTGCTCCTTGCTGGTGTTGTGGTAGTGCCTAGAAGAGCCAGAGCCCATTCTCCTGGGTGCTGGACCTGCTTGCCATTCAAAGGCAGCCCTTCCTCATGTGGCCCACAGCTGGAGGAAGAGAGAAATTTGGCTTCAGGTGCACGGATCAGTATATTGTCTTTAGGTGCCTCCCTGTAGAGGCCCAGCTGGCCTGCACTAATTAAATCCTCCTACCAAGTGTTGCCACTGCTAGCAGGCACGATGGCAAGAGATTGGCTTCTCTGCACGTAGGGGAGGGAAAACCAGGACATGTGTGTTTGGGATCTGGTTTCAGAGAAACCCTTGCTGCTTGCCCATGCGTTTCCTCCACTCGTTCAGGATGGCACAGGACTGCCCCATAGCAAGCTGGCTCTCTGGCCAGGGTGTTGCTGTGTGCCTGTGGTTATCTCTGGAGTACAGTGGGGTTGGGTGGATGGTTTATACCTATTATTATGCATGCATTTCAAAAGAAAACAAGAAGTACCTGAGTGACTTTTAGAAATGAAGATCAGACCTCGGTTTTACAGAGAGAGGGTGATTAACCACTGGCTTGGGGAAGTGGGGAATCCTCCGTCATTTCCAGGCTTGATGTCAGGACTGGTTATTGCCATAAAAATGCACTCCAAGCTCAGACAGCCGTTGTGGACTGGGTGTAGTTCTTTGGCAGGGGTGAAATCTGTGAACTAGCTGCCCTTCGAAATATCTCTGGTCTCTCTTGTTGATCTGTGATTTGATTGTGACGGTCGTTGAGATCCATGTAAGCACTGATCGCGGGTGGCACGTGCTCCCTGCTTAGAGGGATAACGGTGGCTGAACACATTATCTGGACTAAGAAGGCTGTTCCCCCAGCATGACCGACCGATGTGGTGGCAATGCCATACAGCTGGGCTAAAGACACCGAGTAAAAATGCAGAACTGAGCCGCCTCTGAACAAACGTCTCCTCCCAGTGCCCTGCGCCTTGAACAGGGAATTGATGGATGCAGAGAGAGATGCCCCAAGTTATGGCAGAGCTGGGGAACTGAACACCGATGTCCTGAGTGTTGGCGTCATGAGGTCCATGAGGGTTGTTTGGCTAAGCCCTGGTATTATATCCTCAGAGAAGGCTGGGTACCAAACAGGCTGCTGTTCCTGAAGTGAAGACCCTTTCCCCATGGTGCAGGGAGGAGAAGTTTTGTTCAGAGGCACCTCTGAAGACAAGTGAAGAGCTAGCAGCTCAATAAAGGTGCTAGAGAAGAAAGGCCTGAATTCCCAGAGAGCAATAGGGTTGGTTTCCTAGAGCCTCTCGGAGGCTGGCGTGTCCCCAGCTGGGCTTTCCGCTGCGGGGATTTTGTATTGTATTTTATGGCTCAGCTTGTGAAAACACCTTTCAATTTTCCCTTCTGGAAAGGTCACATCTTGCCCTGCTTAAAACCCAGGGGCCCAGTTCATACCTAGTACAAACTCTCTGGGGTCTCTGAAGCTGGCTGGGTTCCTTCATGGCTTCATTGCAGAAGTAACCGTAGCCAGCGAGGAGCATCCTCAGATGCTTGGTAATGCAGTGGGGGAGAAATGCATCTTGAAGGCAGAAGTGAAAAGAGGTTGTGGTTTGTTCACTTGTGGCTTCCAAGGAAAGGCCTGAAGTGAAACCTGCCGACTTCCCTTTTCCCCTCCGTGTCGCCCAAAGGGCTATTAGAGCTCGTTGGAATTCCTGCTGCCCCCCTTGGTCGCAGACCAGCAGGGCTGGCAGGGATTTGCACAGGTCACATCTGGTCCAACCCCTGCCTGAGGCAGGTTCAACCCCCTCCAAACCATCCCAGACAAATCCATGATCCTAGAAATCATTGAAGTCCTAAAGAAGTGGGCATGGAAGGGACCCATAGCAGAAAAAGGGATGGGGGAAGATGGGTGGGAACAACCAGCAAAGCCCAGAAGCAGGGGAAATACGCATGGAAGAATGAACACAGGCATCGCTATGTCTAGATCCTCCCCACCCCATGGCCGTCCAGCCTCTTCTTGCCCCTCCTCCAGTGATGGAGAGCCCACAGCGTCTCTAGGCATCTCTTGCACTGCTTCACTGGTCCCACCGCAAAGAAGTTTTCTTAGCACCAGCTTCAGGGCAGGCCTGGAATGGTTTAGAAAGAGAGGTCCACGAGAACTGCACGCCTCAACATTTTGAAGTGTGTTTCCACTCTGAAAGGCAGCCACGTAGACAGGGCACCAGAGACCTCAGGCTTGAACCATGGTACGTGGACCAGCACTGAATGCATCCTGACTGTGGACTGGCACCTAAACCAGTCTGCACCCATTTCTGACATCCCAGAGGTCATTTTCCTGCAGCATCAATACAGAGGAAGCCCCATGTTGCCATTTTAATGGAGCATCCCCTCTCCGCTCTGAATGCAGCCTGCAAACCTAGACACAGCAGTGACCAGGTGTGAATGGGCTCTTGCTTATTGAAACTCCCTGCACTGAAGTCGCTTGGGTGCTCTGCAGCAAGGCTGAGGCACATGAATGCTTTTGGTTCATTTAATCTCGTTTCAAGCCGGGCCTTCTACCGAGCTTGCTTTTCCAGCCATTCGAGTCCTGACACGAAGTGGTGAGTTTACCCAGCGCAGTGTACGTATCTCAGCCGCTGGCTGTCTCACCCCAAAGAAATCAGGCAGGTGCCAATTAAGCAGATTTCACAGTATTTAAAAAGCCTTACTGCTCGGCTGTTTTACGTGGTGGGTGATACCAAAGGCAAGTTTGGGAAACTGGAACCAAGCCTTAATTGCTGGCTTTGAGGGAAGCCAACAAGGAAGGCGTGTAGCTGCAATATGTTTTCATTTGGAGGCGGCGCGGGGGTTACATTGATATCTCTGTTACAAATGGAGGTGTGCATCTGGCGGAGATGGGGGCAGCAGCTGATCAATATGACAGACAGGTCCAATTAACACTGTCACCTGTTTCTTAGCTGTCCTATGCTTTCTGCTTGCCTTTCCGTCTTGTCAAAGCCTGCGTAGCCTGGCTTGCACCATCCTGGCAATACAGAGCGGGCATCCGAGGGGTGTCTGGGGTTGTCCTGGTCAGCTGAAGAAGCCAAGCTGTGCTTCTCTGAGCTCTGGCCGCACTAGCTCTGGTAAAGGGAGAGGCCAAGAGAGAGAGCATGGGATCTGTCCAGGCGCTTCGCTTCAGTGCCTGTCCATGCCCTGCCACTGATGTGCTGCATGGCCTTGGGTGAGGCAGCTCACCTCTTGGTGCCTCTGTTCCCCTTCTAGCCCAACCCATTTGCCTTCTGGTCTTCTGTCTTGCAGAGGCTGTGGCACCATCATGTCTGAGCGCTACCAAAAGGTGTGTCTGCATTTCATACTGGGGTTCCCACTTATTTTCAAGGTCTTCCCGTATAAGGACCAGAGGCAATGCAGTAACAAGCATTTTTGGCCCGGGTGGAGCTGGCACTGGGGCTGCATTCATCATGACCTTCTGCTGGCTTCCTGCCTTCCCCTCCCCTCCGCTTTTCTCCCCCCTTCAGCATTGATTTGCCAGCCTGAGCACGTTTTTAATTAGGCAAATTCAAAACAGCTCCCAATTTGTTAAGAAAATCAGCCCTTGCCGCGGCACAGATCAAAGTTCCCCACCAAGCGCAGCCAGCAAAGCAGAGACGCTCAGCCCCGGGACGATCAGCTCTGCCGTCTGTTTGCCATGCTCCCGTGCCCACGCGTAGCCGTGGGAGGGTCCCGTAGCAGCAGGCCACTTGCTGCATGAAGTGGAGAAACGTGCAAGGAGTGCCTGATCTCGAACGGGCCCGATCCCCGCTGCTGCGGACGGAGCCCGCGGTGCCCTGCAGGCTGGGCTCGCATCTTGGCGGGGGTGCATTTCTGCTGCTTTTCCATCCAGGTAATCTGCTACCTGCTACACTCGTACTCCTCGCCCTATCCCCCGCATCTGTGTCCTGCTGTTCTGGTCCCAGTCATGCCCCCCGCTTCCCTTCCCAGGTCCTTCTGGGTAAAGTACAGCTCCTGGGGGTATCCAAGCACCCTCGGTTCATCCATTTCTCCAGGGCTGCTGGTCTTTCCAGCCACCTTGCCCACCCTGCCGTCACGCACGGCCCAGTGCCTCGTTCGTTTTGCCCTGCTCTTGTGCTGCATGGATTTTGTTCAACCAGAGACTTAGGAAATTTAGGTGGTCCCCTCCATTGTTGTGTTCGCTTAGCTGCTAATCCCAGCCGCTCTCCCCTTTCACTGCCTTGCTGAGCAGTTGTGAAGAAGCTGGGTGCTGTCTCCACCTTGTCTTAGCTGCATCCACTTCAGCTATTTCAGATCATCTTTTTTTTTTCCTCCATCCCTTTCCTGTAATTGCTTTTATTATCAATGACCTGATCTTGCTAACTGCAGCCAGCCACTAATGCCCTGCCACCAGCCTGTAACCTGTTTCCCTTAGATTTTTAGCCTTTCTCCTACTGGCTGCACCTGCTGCATTTATTAGAGACAGCCCCAAACTTGAATGATTGCAGACCCGTTGTGCAGAAAGAAACAGATCTGCAGAGGCCGGGGCTGCGGCTCGAGCTGCATTGCTGCAGAACGTGCCAGGGGTTCTGCAGGGAATGAGCTCCCTTGAAAGACACGTGTCTACTTCCAGCATCATCTCGGCATCCTTTGGTTTGGGTTGCTGTCATCTAAAGAACTTCCCAGGTTTCCTTTGCATTTTGGAGTCCTTCAGGCCCTGAATCTCCCAGGCCCAGACCCCTGCAGGTCCCATACCCTGGCAGGCTGGAAAAGACTCAGCATATCAGTGATGAATCAGAGCTGTTATGGGGATATACTTGATCTGAAGCCCATTTAGCCTCAACTCAAAAGCCCTTGCAAGCCAGATAGGCTGTATTGTCTTGCACACTCAGAGTGCTCACAAGCCCTTTTATAAACCACGTTGATGAGTAGACCCAGTTCAGGAGCAAGTTAGGATTTTTCCTGTGCTTTAAACCAAGCTAAAGGGTTTGGACCAGACCTGCAGGGGAGTGCATTCAAAAGCTGCACTGTACTGCTGCCATTAGTGTTACTGGGAAAGTCTGAGCTTTGTCCCCATGTCCTGCACTAAAATTGCCCTCTCCTAGGTCTTGGAGCAGCAGGTTTTACCAGGGCCTAGCTGCCTGTGTGCTGAAGGAACATAAAAGGATATAGCACGTAGGTAAAATGGACTGTGGACACAGCCTTGTGGCCTGCCCTGCTTTGCAGGGGATGAAGACAGTGCCTGGATGATGGGGTCAGGGAGTAGAGTACGGATCTGGGGTTTAGTACCACCGAAGTAGCAGTTCCCATCCGGCATCACCAGCATACAGTGAAGTTGCCAGGAGTGGATCCCAAAGTGGACCCAAGTGTCACAGCAAGGAGCAGCCCCCTTCCCATCAGTGGGAGTTCCCAGCGCAAGGCAGGGAGATGGGGCCGGCAACCAGAAAAACCACCGTCAGTCCTGATGGCCTTTTCCTGGATTGATCTCCTGTTGATTTTTGAGGCCCCCACTTCTTATTTGCATTGCAAACCCTGTGGGCTTGGCAGTGTCAGCAGCTGCTCTGGTCGCCAGCCCACAGAGAGGCCTCATAGAGGGCTGCAGAGAAGGAGAGGCTGTGGCTGGGATTTGTACTGGAAGCCGAGGCTGTGGCTTGCTCCCAGCAGCTGGAGGAGAGCTGGCACCAGGCGAGCAGCAGGAGAAAAGCAAGCGTGAAGCTCCCGAGGTTCAATCTGCACCCCAGGGCAGGGCAGGGGAGAGCAGCCGCATTCAGTAAGTGGCACCGGGGCGTCAAACTGACACAGGCAGAGGACATGGCTGGAGAACCTTGAGACCAGGACTGAGCCAAGCCAGCACGTATGCTGCGGCCTCCCTCCCACACGCATGTGTTTGGGGGTTGCTCCCGGCCAGATGAGCTCTGTTGGGCAGGGCAGGATCCAGGAGGATGCGCTTGTACCTCCCTTTGATTCCTGCTCCACCCAAAGCTTAACGCTAGCTGGCAGGAGCAGGGGCATTCGTAGTCAGGCAGCAATGACCATTGACTTCACGGCTGATTGTCATCTACCTCTTCGTTCCACTCACGTGAACAACCCTCTCATCTTTTTACTGGTGTTGATGCTCAGCCAATCAAGCTCACCTTTGTTCTGCCAACCTGATGTCTGTTGGCTGCTCCTGGTCATGGAGCTCCTATTTCACAGCCCTGCTGGCTGTTTTTAACTCGTTCCTATGAAGTTCTGCTTGTTTTTGCTTCAGTCAAACTGACTAATAGAGCCCTAGACTGCTAGCACATTAGTAAATCTTCTAGTTTATTTTTAACCAGAGGAAAATAGGTGTTGTTTTATGTGTGATGATGCATCTCGCCCTCTGCACCTCCCCTTGTTAAAATCCTGGATGTATCCATGGTGGCATGACACCACTTCTGTATTGCCCTGATGTCGGGATTCCTCAGGGCTCCGGGAAGGGCACCTGACATGTCTGGTATCACATCCCCGCTAAGGGTCAGCAAGTAGACCAAGGAAGTGGCTGGAGGGGATCATGCCCCAGTGCCACTCTCTGCCTTGGAAATTTTGTGCTCAGGACACTTGAGGCAAGCTCCTTTGCCTAAATGGCATCTGCCAAGCAGAGCAGGAACAAGTGGGCAGCGCTTGCTTCTTGACAGTGGCCCCAGGCTGATTGGGAAGTGGTGGATGTAGAGCCGGCTCGGCCAGCCCTTGACCTCCTGGAGTGCAGCCTAATCCTACCGCGCAGGCAGGCGGGGAAGTTTGGGCCACCATGCAGGAGTGGGTGCATCGGGCGAGCTCGGACAGCTCGTGGCAGGTGCCCACCCAATGTGGTGAGAACCAGCCAGGCTCTGAGCTTCTGAAAATAGCTTTGACCACGCAAATGATGACAGCTGTTCAGCAGACGCCAGTCTAATTGCTAGCGCTTGCCTTGAGGAGCAGGCTGCAATGCTTGCCGACTTCCTGCTGACCTGCACAGCTCTTTGGGTGGGGGAAGCTGAGTATGTTAAGACTTTAAAGAGCTTTTCCAGCAACAAAGGGTGTAATGGTGCTTGGGAGCCCCAGGGAAGTGCTCAGGGAAAGCGAGTGATTTCATAAAGGGCTGCGTGCTCGAGCTTTTAATAACTCCACTCTTCCATCGACGTACCAGGTCCTGGATCGGGCACCAGCACTGCTGAGGCCCTCGGGGAGAAAACTGGGAGTGCCTCTCGGTGAGAGAGGATTATTCAGTGCTGCCAGATCGAAGGGGACTGCTTCCCTGACTTGGTTGCTGGATACGATCCTTTTGAGAGAAGTGCAGGGCATATTTGGGAATGAGCACTCAACCCCTTCTTCATCCCAGAGAAGATGCTCTCCCGCCGTGGGGAGCTGCAGTCTTTCTGGGGACTGCTGGGTTGAGAATATAGGCACTGTGTGGCTGGGCGCAGGAGAGGAAATAATTTATTCCAGTTCAAATCATCTAGGTGTTTCCTAGCCCGGGAGAGTGGTGATAGGAGGAGCTGGCAAGTTGCACAACATACGCGTGCGGCTTCTTTCAGACCCCTTCATGACTGAGAGAGCGAGCGTAAAAATAAATCTGGAGACATCTGCTGATGGAGGCACCCCTGTGATTTCTGGCATCCTTTTGCAAGCGGGCTCGCTCTCTGCGGCTGAACGGGGAATTCGAGCCGCCTGAAGTGGAATGCAAATTTCTGACTGTGCAAAGAGGGCTTTTGTTGCAACCCCGACTTTACACTGGAGACGGACACGGAGAAGGATAATGCCAATGGTGGCAGTGACAAGCTACATGCTGCCATAGCTCTGGCCCTAATCCAAGGCCGTTGCCAGCTGAGGGCCCAATTTGAGTGCAGATTCTTTTGACATCGATTGTTTTATTTTATGCGTGGAGGAAGGGGCTGGCATGGTCCTGAGAGAGTTGTAAGGCTGCACAAGTGCATAGTGCATCCGTGCTAGTAACGACCCGTGGTTGTGGCCAAATGATTCATACGTAATGGCAGGAAATTTCTATGTGCTGCGGGAGCAGTGTCGAGTGCTGAGACAGCAGGAGGGTGGATGGCAGCGCTGCAGTTCAGCTCAGAAACATTGCCTCAGTGTGCCCCAGACGGCGTGGTACCACTGTGTAGGAACCGGACACAAAAATAGCCTCCCCCGTTACTAAAATGAAGCTGTTTCTGGGGCAAAATAGAGTAGGTCTTAACTTCAAGCAAGCAAATCATCCCACTGAATTTGGTCAAACTATTCAGCAAGCAGCTGCTTTACACCCTCGTTAGATGTGTGCATAAAGAAGGCAATGACTGGTATCCTTGCTGGTATTGCTGCAGGCATCCAAGTAGGCAGAATAGAAATACCCAAGATGGAAAATGGCCTGGGTACTTTTGATAACAACCCAGTGTCCCTGGCCAGAAACTGCTGTAGGGTCTTTCATGGCCAAGTGCAGCCAAGACCTTTGTTTCATATCTCACACAGAAAACCATCGCCTTTTGCTGCCAGCCTTCTGGTGCACTGCCTTCGTCCTGGCTTGGGAGGAGAAGTGCCACCCACGGTCAGCGAGGCAATGCAGCATGGGGTAGAGATACCCATGCTAGATTTAAATGAGCTATATCGGGGTTCAGAAGCAGTCTAGCCATGGCAGCAAACAAGTTTCCTCATGTCCTCCCCTGAGTGTGTAGGATGGGTGCACCAAAGAGGGTGAATTCACTGGGGTGCGATGCCTGGTTAACGTGGCTTTGCTCTCTTTGCCAGCATGGGTTCTTAATTAGGTCATTAAACTTAGAAAGGTCATGGGTACGTGTTGTTCTTACAAGTCAAGATGCCTTGTGGTCAGAGTGAGTCACGTGTCTGTGAGTCAGTAGGAATGAGTGGATCCCTGCAAAATGGCCATAAATGAATTAAGTGCAGAGCAGAACATCTCGGTGTTGCTAATCACGCTGTCTGAAGGCACGTTTGGTGTTACGCACTAGCCTTCCACGGGCCAAAACTAACACTGGGCACCATGGTAACACTTTTATCTCCTTTTTTGTCTTTTTTTTTCTTACCTACAGACTACGTTTCCTGTGACTCCATCGCTTGCAACAAGTCCCACCATGGCTTTTAGTCCCTACCTAAGTCATGTTTCTCCTGGGATGGGCTTGGTCCCTGCAGAGCTTTTACCAAATACGCCTGTCCTGGTGTCCGGAAATCCTACTGTTACAGTGCCAGGAGGCTCTGCTGGTCAGAAACTGATGCGTACGGATAAACTGGAGGTATTTGGACTATGAGATATAATGCTGTTTGATGGTGGGGAGGGGGTAGACACCAGCAGACATTAGCCGTGCCAGCCTGAGACCCAAATGGGTGATGCAGCCCAAGGCAGAACTTCCCTTCCAGTGAGTTAGGCTGGACATGTGTCACCATAACAGTGTGGTCAGGGAGGAAGCGATGGCCACTACCCTGAACTCGAGCAGGACCTGATCCTGGCCCCCTGGAAACCCATGGAAAGACACTCCCTGAGGTCTTGGTTCGGGTTCTGGGAAGCAGGAGGTGAGAGGTGGCCGGCTGGTGATGGGAATAGTGGAGATGTATAACACTAAATAAACACGTTGAGTGTAAAAGCATCTTTTCCTAATTAGAAAAAAAAACAAACCAACAACCTAGGGAGGTCAGTCCTTATCTAGGTGAGCAATGTTGGGGAGCTGTCAGCTGCAGTCCTAGCAGATGCACTGTGACTGTTTGAGACCTAGAGAGTGGACTGAAATAGGGCATAGGAAACCAGGGCGGATCTGGGCTGATCCAGGCATGCCGTCAGGGATGGGGAGATGTCACTCAGGACGCCAGTGTAAGATGCTGTACCTTCAAAGACCTCGCACCTGTATACTGCCCCGTTGGTTGCTTTTCCAGCCTGCTACATGCCTTCTGCTCGCTGAGCATGTAACCTGCACCACACTCTGCCGGTCTGATTTATCCCACCCGCCCACAGGGCAGCTGGATTTCTGCCTGGCGTATCCCCTTGCGATTCTTCTCAGTTCAGGCCACCTGCCAGGGCCTTCGGATGGAAACATTGCTGTCGGCTGTTGACGTTTTCCTGCTCAGAGCTTAAGGCCTTGTCAGTGGGTCACCAAGCTGGTGATTCTGGCAACAGCTTAAAGAGCGTATCGTCAGGTCAGGATGAGCTAGGATCGGGCACTGCACGAGTCAGAGTTCAGCCCATTCCCAGGAGAGAGCCTTCCCCCTGCCCTTGCTTTTGGCACATTTAGCGTGTTGCTTGAGACTGCTTCTTTTAACCCAGAGTTTTAAACCGTGTGACCTCAGTAGGTTAAAATGGCAGAGACATTAATATAAAGCATAGCACACAGCGAGGGATGAAGTACTGGCCCCTTGCAGCCAGTGACTTTGCTGGGCTAAAGCGTCACCCAGGACGCTTTCTATTGTGCACATACACTGCTCCATACTTCCCATTGCATTCATTAGCGCTCTTAGGTACCTTGCATTGGGACTGATTTTGAGTAGTCCCTGCTCACGAGTCGCCCACCCTCAGTGCTCCTGAACGTGAGCAAGGTTGAGTAGGATCAGGACCCAGCCTCTGATGACTGTCACGTGTCCCGCTTTGTTGACGCCCTTCGACAAAGATGCTGAGCGAAGGGTAACTAACCGTTGTACTCAATTATGTGACTTTCTTTTAAGGTTTGCCGAGAGTTTCAGCGTGGAAATTGCACACGTGGTGAGAACGATTGCCGTTACGCTCACCCAATAGATATTGCAATGATAGACACAAATGAAAATACTGTTACAGTTTGCATGGATTACATCAAAGGGCGATGCTCTAGGGAGAAATGCAAGTACTTTCACCCCCCTGCACACCTGCAAGCCAAAATCAAAGCAGCTCAACACCAGGTGAACCAGACAGCTGCAGCTGCAATGGTAAGGGCATGACTGACCATATCGAACCGTAGAGCCATTGCTAAAAGGTTTTATTTGTGCAATAAGTTGAAAAGCAGTGCAAAGCATTTGGAAGAGGCTTAATGATGAGCTGAGAGTGTGTGCAGTATGAATACCATCTCTCCACCCCTTCATTGTAATCATTGTGGCATGATGCACTGAATGATGCATCACATCTCATTGTTTAGGGGCGAGATGACAAAGCACGTGCTCTTCCGCCAGGATGTTCTGGGGTGAAACACAGCGGAGATTAACACAGCATCAGGAAGAATGAATTACAATCATCCCAAATAGCTAGCAATCAACCCAGTCTAACACAAGGAGTAAAATCATGGCCCAGCGACATCAGTGGGGACGAGATGTCTCCTACTGAGTCTAGAAAAATCAAGCAGCCCTGTGCCTTTTCTGGGGGTCAGACCTGTGAAGTGAGGAGCACCTCCAGCCCAGGTGATAGTTGTACAGTGCCACCTCCCAGGCGCTGGGTGCCTTTGAACTTCAGTTACTGCTCCCCAAACCAGCACAGCAACAGGTAGAGGACAGAAGGCAGGTCAAGGGATTCCCATCATTGCCGGCTTGTGCAAATGCATGTAGCCCCATTGACTTAGTGGAACTGCATCTGTTGGCATCACCTTCCTCAGTGCATTTAAAAAGGCAGCCAAGTCCTAGTTGCAGGGAGGAGCTGATTGGGGGCTGGGACAGTTATTGCTGTGTAAATTCCTGTGTGGAAAATGAATATTTCAAAAGGCGCTGGACTCTTGCCAGTTCAGAAATTCTCACGATATAAGGCTGATGGGGTTTTACTGAATCACTTTCCCTGCAGAAAGCAGGACCGGTGTTTTCCATCCAAGATGAAACAAAGACTGGGCTTAATAATCTTTCAGGCATCAAGCAATGTTCATGCTGTGCCCTTAGTTGTATAAATAAAACAGCTATCCTTCTGGTAGGATCAGTCATACCTGGAAAGGCTTATGAGGAACTGATTGATGCTATGGGGTTTCTCTGGCCTGCACGGCTTATTTGCAAGAAGAGAAGGGAGTAGCAGCTCCTTCGTGTTATTTCTGTTGTTGTTGGAAGAAACAGCTTTACTTCAGTCTAAGTCTTGGGAAACCTTCTGAAAGGAGAACCCCCATGTTCATGACACATGAAGTTTTACTTTCCGCTAATTCCCTGGGACACTGATACTTAACTGAAGCCAATGTGTGTTTTATTTATGCTCCTGGCTTCTGTCAAAAATGTAATTAACCCTATTTGTGTGCCATTAACTAGAACCTTTAAAATATTTATTGATTGCATGTTGCAACACCCTGGCTACCAAAACAGTTTATATTATTCATTAACCTCTCAAGGTTTGATGCATTTATTGTATCTGTTGAGTCGAACACTTTGAGAAGGGAAGAATGGGGTCTGATCTTCCATCAGGAATCATGTGCGACACAGATCAGCTTAATAATCCCTTGGCACATAGATTTGGGATCCACTCAAGACTAAGTAGGTTAGGGAGGTATCTCTGGAAGGCCTGAGTTTGCAGACGCTTACCCCACTCGGCCTGGTCCGACTCCACACAAGGTTTCCTGTTCAAATCAAGGGAGTGTAATTGGGTTATTGGTCTCCAGATTGGGACAGCACACAAGCAGGTGTGGGATTAGGGATGCTTCCCTTGCTGTGGACTCGTGTGTATTAAGTAGATGCAGAAATCAGCCTGAGGTCCAGCCAGCCAGTCCTTATACTTGAATAATGCATTCCAATACTATTTTATTTTTATAGCAAAACCCCTGCTAAACCTGCTAGTTCTTAAAGTATTTATAGCCTGGTAGGTGGTGAGTCACAGTGCCATTATTTTAGATCAAACGCTAAATCCACCATCCATGAGGGTATTTCTTTTGCCTCGAAGCTTCCTGAGATAAACCAGCTGACTAATAGAGCTAGTCCGATTCATGCTAGCGACCGCCCCGTGTTGTGCATGCCTGGTCTTTTTAATATGTTGTATAATGCATTCATTTTTTTTTTTTTCTCTTCACCTCTCCACAATGTTGCTCTCCTTTTGACGCACCTTTTGCTTGCTGTTTTTTGTTGTTATGCTTGAAATCCCCCTTTGGCCCATTGCCATCATGTGCTCGCTGCCTGCTAATTAAGACTCAGCCAGCTGTCAGATCACTGAAGCGACCCCTCGAGGCAACCTTTGACCTGGTACTTGGACCTTTCACCTTCTTGCTTTGCACGTAACCATCTTAGACTGCCTGAACGCTTTTCTCATTTGTTGTTTTGTGTTGACGCATCAGGAGACTGCCCATCGCGATCGGAAATGTTACGCCATGCTTTCCGACGTGCCGGTCCATGCCAAAGCGATACATCTCCCTGCACAGGCATTTGGAAACTGTTAACGAGCTGAGCTTTTCTTCAGGAAGCCCAGATGCAGTTGGGAGCTGTTTAATTATCACCCTGTTTTCAATCAGCCTGTTTTCAAACAGCAGCAGCTGGGGCATGGTGGACGGCGGTGCCTTAGCTGGATGCCTTTCACACCTCAGGCCTGAAACGCGCCAGAGGTGTCAGAGGAATCTCATAGAACAAGACAGGGATGCCACTCACACCACGGTTGTCCAGGGTCTGGCTGCTTTTCCATTAGAAGCCCTAATAGCTGAGGCTTGTCTGGGCATTGCCAATGGCTTCCCCTTGGCACTTCTGTTCTGTGCACAGGTTGTACGGCAAGATGATCATTTTGGTATAAATGTGGGGAGGGCTGCGGCACATAACCGATGAGGAGAGACTGATTTAGTCTGCAGAAGAGAAAACGGAGGGGCATGTGATAGCAGCCTTCACCTCCCTGCGCAAGGTTGCAAAGAGGATGGAGCTGAGCTGGTCTCATTGGGGGCAGATGACAGGACAAGGAGCAATGGGCTCAAGCTGCAGCAAGGGAAGTTGAGGTTGGATATTAGGAAAAATTTTCTCACGAGGAGGGTAGTAAAGCACTGGAACAGGTTACCCAGAGAGGTGGTGCAGTCTCCATCCTTGGCTGGGATGATGTAGTTGCTGCTGGTCCTGCTTGGAGCAGGGGGTTGGACTAGAAGTGACCTCCTGAGGTCCCTTTAACCCTCATTTTCTATGATTCAGTGAGGGAGAGGGGTGGGTTGATTGGGGTTTTTTTTTTTAAAATCACTTTCACCATGTTTTGAATTTCCAAAAACTTGCAGCGGCCAGCCACCCGCACTGGGGCACTGTGATAGCCGCCGCTGCACCCGCGCTCGCCAGACCAGTGCTGCGGCAAGTGTAAAAGGCACCGCTCCTTTGGAGCTGGGCTAGGACCATGCTAGCTGGCCAGCAAAACAAACAGGAAACCCACAAACCGCTGCTCTTTCCCTTGGGAAGGAGGGATCCCATCCAGATTGACAGAGCTCAGATTTCAAACTGTGCACACACGTGATGACGGCACATCGGCACAGAGATGCACTTAAGCAGCAGGCTGCCACTTTACCAGTGGGACATGCTAGGAGTTTATGTGGGTCTCCCACTATATGACCCACAAGTTGGAGCAAAAGCTCCTCAGACCAACCCTGGGTGGGGGGGCAGAGGGGTCCACCATGTCCAATGTCCTCAAGGCTCAGGATGCAGCAGGAGACTCCCAGGCCTGCTGCATGCTGCAGTCTCCCTAATGGTGTTTCCAGAATGCTGCAAGGACAGCAAAAAGACTCACCTGACCTCTGCCATTTTGGGGCTCAAATAAAAAAGTTCCTTCCAGGTCTCCCAGAACAGGCCATGGGTGAGACCTGCAGCGTCCCAGAAACCCAGCTGCTGCAAGGAGAGAGGGCAGGACGGGCACAGAGAGCCCAGGGCTCGACACGCGGGGCATGCATTCAACATGTTGCCACAGGAGCCACTCCATGCAGTCCCCCTGGCAGGAGGCACCTCCCTAGCCCTTCACAGCATGCACTGGTCCTCCTCTTCCTCCTGTGTGTTGTTCATCGCCTCCAGTTGCATAGTCCCCTTCCCAGTGGGGGGAAGGTATTGAGGTCACTGCCCTCGAAAGCTGTTTGTTCAGCCTTTCTAGTAGCTGGGATGTGAGCCTGTTTATCTAAACCCTCTCTGGAGTGAGTCCTCCAGCAGCGGTTGTGTAATTTTAGGGGGCAAGGTCCTTTCAGGGGTTTTGAAAGACTTGGAGTTTGGGCTTAAAGGAACTCCCTTAGCGCAGCTGTCAGGGGCACACAGTCACGGTATCGGGGCCAAGCCACGGTCCCCGAGCCTAGCAGTCCACGGGCGGCAGTACAGGGCAGGCAGCATCAGGCTTGACTTTCCCTATCAGCATGACAGCACCAGTGTCTGTGCAAAGCAGCATGTCCTGCGGCCATGATCGTCACTGGAGGTGCCCAGAGGCTCTCAAGCTCTGCCGTGACACCGAGGCAATGCTGTCCTCTCTGCATCGGCACTCAAGGCCAGGAGAAGGGGTTCTGGTAAAAGCAACCCCTCGCAGCGATCATTGGAAACCCAGGTCGGGAGCCCTTGAGACTTTAAAGACCTAGTCCCACTTCTCATGAGACCCAGCCCTGAGCAACTTGTCCATCTGAGCTCCAGTTTGGTCAGCATGTCTCTTAAC